AATTCAGTTTTAGCAAACAAACAATAAACAATTACCCAATAATACAACATGAACATAAGGAATACAATTTTACCATTATTATCATTGCTCTGCTTGTCACTAGCCTTATTTTATGGCATTATTTCCTTGAAGGTCATTGAACTAAAAAGTACTATTGCAGAAAAGTCATCAAACAATTTTTTTCTAATCATAGAATCAGTTATCTTTCACTAATTTTCATTAAGAAAAAATATTTTGGGCATTTTTAGATGAACATTAGCCGGGAAGTTCCTATTGTAATAATTAATTACCCTATCAGGTCACTTTTACTTTTCTATTATATTTAAAATATATTTATATTTTTTCTTATTATCTTTTTATATATATTCTTTTAACCTCAACATAAATTACTTATTTCTCATAAAAAATTCTAAAGACTTATATCAATTAATATAAAATATTTATATTAATTATCATTATTTTTTAAGGGAGCGCAAAATTCAAAAATGAATAAATAAAACTGAATAGTAGAAGTAAATTCAAAATTATGTAATCACGTGAGTTGAGTCGGAAGAGAATATGATATACGTACACAAACTTTACCCCTACGTACATAAGTGGGGTAGAGAAGTAAAATAACAAGATAAACAAAACAAATGGAGCAATAGATAATATTAAAAATAAAGAGTATGATATTATATGAATATTTAATAATACTACTAAACACAATAAAATAATGTTCTTTCTAACAATTTAAGTGTCTTAGATAAGATAATGATACATTTCAACATGATAAAAAAGTAGATTGAATTCGAGCCTTACTGTCACTCATTATTGAAAAGTTTTCCCGCGTAAGTTTAATGACCTTTTGTGAAATTCAGCAACTTATGCTGAACAAAGTAAGAGTAACAAGCCAGAAATAAATACTCCACCACTTACAAAAAGTATGTAAAAAGGTCACACCTTTGGAAAAATATGTAGGTGATTCTCATGAACTTGCAGATACAAAAAAGGTTAGGCACTTGTAATTATCAACTTTAATTATAGAGTAAATTTCCTTTGACCTTTTGTGTTTGAGAACTAACCCCCTTAATTAATGGATTTTTCAAAAGTCATAAATGACCCTCAATACTATGAAAAATGAAATGACATTTGTTTTTTTTCAATAACAAAAGAATCCTCTCTCGGTCTTTTTTTTTACTTGTCAAATTTTGACTTGACACATCTATTAAAACAATAATAATTAGTATAGTGAATTTATCATTTTACCCCTATTAATTGATAGGGTCCAAAATATATTTACTCACTACATATTTCAAAGACATTAACTTAATGTTAATAAATTTAGGGTATAATAGGGAAACAAATTGTTCTTCCTTGATTTGTCAAAAGTAAAAAGAGAAATCAAATTAGGAAATATTTGACAAGTAAATAGGGACGGGGGAGCATTATGCAATAGTCAATACTCTTTTTGTTCCTATTTATATGTCACAATTTTAGATTTTATGTCTCTTAAAAAACTAAATAAGTTTACCATTATACCCTTATTTAGTGTTATAAATGAACATAAATAATTTATTTTAATTAATTAAACTGACTAGTGAATATGAATTAATCATTTAATTTTTCTATGTTTTTAAGGCTAATAACTCTCATGGGTAAAATAGGAAGAATAGTATTATTTATATATTGATTTTGTGAAATGACAAATATTAAAGAATATTTATTTTTAATAAGGACAATATATAAACAGATATAGACTAGAGGAGTAACATTTTTAGAAATACCTCACTTTTCTCCTTTGCCTTTCTTTTGGAGTTCTTTTTCCTTAGAACTCCAAAACTGCGTAAAATATGGAGATCAGATAAAAACGAACGATATCATAAATTTGTTCCTATTCGAAAAATCAGTCAAGCAAAAAGTACAAGCAGACTAATATATTTCCCCCAATCAGACTGTTCAATAAACATGCAAAACTACACACTCTACAAACTTTAGCAGAGGGCCACTACACTTGAAAATATCTTATGAAAGAAGACATAAAATTAAAACTGAATTTGTAAAGTATTGTAAAACCAATAAGATAAAGTATGTAATTAGGCTTGACAAATAAGATATAAAACTACCTGTTCAATTTTATTTTATTTTTATTTTTAAGAAGAGGGCACTTTACATATTTTTACAAAAGATTAAATAACCGCTAAAAGATAAGGTGGGGTGGATGAGATTTATGTTCATTAATGAGTTCTAGCTTGTTTAGTGAAAGTCATTTAGGAAAATTATATTTGGAATTGCAATTTAAATTTTTTAAGTTGTATTTTTGCTCATAAACATAAAATTTCATAAGTTGTGAAAACTATCAAAATTTCTTCAATTTTTATAGTCTTAACAAATGAGGAAACCATAATTCATAAAAAAGATATTGGAATATCTTAAAGTGTTGCGTTGATAAAATCACTTATCTCCATGTTCCTTTTATAATAATAATAAAAAAATGTGTGTGGTTACAAACTTTCAAGTACACAGAATTTTACAAAGTTTAATTCACTAGTCAACAATAAGAATAGTTAATTATTATTTAATCTGATTATTTCACCTGATACAAACAATCGCTCTGTGCCGAGCAGACGAGCATGGATCTTTTTCATTTTTTGTTCTTACAAAATTAAAATTATGATTATTATTTTTACAAAATACAAACTTTTGGATCAGTTTACATTTAAAATTAAACTAAGATCACAATTTTGAATCTCATATTATGATTTTTAAAAAATTGAGATATTAAATCATAATTTCAAATTATATATCTAGACATTAATTTAAAATCATAATTTCAAACACATACTAAATGCTTAAAAGAAAGAAAAATGGGAGATTGGATAAGTGACTCAATTGTAATATTTGAAGCTACAAGAGACACAAGTGCAAGAAGCATAAATTAACCTCAGGGAAATTGAAACAAAGACCCGCAAGGTTTATGTGGTGATAACTTTACCCCCTAACAAAACATTTCTTATATTTATTGCCTCTTTTTAAAAAATAATCTCTTTTGATGAAGTACCGAACAACAAACAACAATAACTTTCACACGTGGAATCTAAAAAAAGTGAAATGTACACAGTTATTATCTCTATTTTTATGAAGTACAAAGTTTATTTTCGATAAATTTTTGATGTATAAGTACCAAACGAGGACAAAGAAAAAAGTGAGTGACCAAATTAAGAAAACATAATTACATTTACAATTGAAAATTAACCATGTTGAAATAGGGATCTAACGAGAACCAAAAAATAAAAAAACAAATATACAATACTAGGTCCATTATTTTTATCCCTAACAAAACGGCACTTAAAAACTCCATTTCTCAATGGAAAAAGGGGACAACAAGTTAGTTCCTCACCATTCATTCCCCATTAGACAATTCAACTCAAGATCCTTAATTAAAGGGCTTTAATTTATTTTTCCTTAAATAGCAACTCTTTATTAATCACAACATTAATTATTCCCCTTCCAACTAATAAAAATAAAAGAATCAAAATTTACAACTTGAATTAAATAAGCTGCCACACTTTTAGTATGTCCAGCCAGTACCATGCCAGAATCTTCCCTTTCTCCTAGCCCTTATATTGGATTTTTTATATTTTTTTCAATTATCTTGTCCCTCCAAATTATTATTATTTTTTAAAAAATCTACATAATACGTAGATTTAAGAAAATGGAGGGTAAGAAATATGTCTTTAAAATCATTATAAAATAGAATAATTTCGGTGGTATCAAATAGAAATATTTTTTGCTTAGCTTGTTAGATTAATCCGTAAAGCTAACTTTATATTATACAAAAAAAATAAAATAGGAAGGGTCTTTTGGTCCACATAGTATTTTATTATTGATCCGTCGTTACAACAACTCAACAGTTTAATTGACTGATTTAAGTAAAGGTTAAACCTAATTTATTCTAGTAACCTCCTATAATTATTGTTCCCATTTTACCCTGCCTCGTCCACTAATATGAAAAGCACACGAATTTAAGTTTTATAAACTAAAATAGTAAGAGGAAATTTATACTTTTGGTGCTACTTTTAATCGGTAACAGACCCCACCTCTTGCTATGAGTTTAAATTTTGTATATCGATAATTCATATATTTCTTACACTATAGAATTAAGTTAAGTGTATAAAATATGAAACCCTCCATATAAGCTTGGTGTAGACACTTTAAAAATGTTTAGAATTTAATTGATTAACTTATAATGAAAGTTAATCAATATATACAATTTACTTTCTGACCTGTGTGACTTTATTTGATCATATTACTACTGAAAGAGTCAAATAAGTTTTTGTTTGACCATATTTATTTTTGATTTTTTAAAAATATCTTTGAATTATTAAACATTATGACTTAAAGATACTTTTATATAATTTCTAAATATGCAATATTTTATTTTTAGAAAAAACTTCAAGATGTCATGGTTAAAATTTACACCAAGAATTAGTCAGTTTAACTCTAAACATTATCACATAAAATGGAATATTTTTGGACTATAAACTTATTGGTTTGTTACTCTATTAATAAAGTAATGAAATATTTAATTGGTGGGTTAAGTTATTTCAAGAGTGTAAATTTATGAATTTATACATTTAATCAAACAAATTATAGACATTTAATCGTGAATATCAACTTTATTTCATGAACCAAACGATCCTTATTTTTTTTTTAAAAAAGACTCTAAATAAGGAAAAATAAATTAAATTAAAGGGGCAATTTTGGAAATGTAGAGATGGGATGGAAATAAATGCAAAAGTCGCATGTTACATGTCCTTGCCATTCACTCTCTTTTGCCTTCATGCATACGCTTTAATTGAACTTTTTCTCTTTTTTCCTCTAATATTAATTACCTTTTGCCGTTTTAAGTTTAAATTAATTTACTCTTAATTAATCCAAAAAAACAAATATCAAAAATCAGATTTGTTTTAGAGTATCTTTAAAACTATTTCCATTTGTATATATCTGTTGGTGGAGGAATGCTTGTTACCTACTCCTTTTTATAGCTTCCTTCCACTCTCTCCCAAAAACACACAGAGTGGAGAGAAAAAATGGAGAAAAACAAGATATGTAAGCTCTGTTCAAGAAAGTTTGCTAATGGAAGAGCTTTAGGTGGGCATATGAGATCTCATATGATGAATTTACAGTTACACCAACATGAAACAGAGTCAATTCCATCATCTTCATGGTCCGATGAAGAAGAAAAAGGTAAAATCTTGAATTCATCTGATGCTGATGCTGATGACTCGGTTGTTGTTCTTCCAGATAAGGAGAGTGAAACCGAGTCATCGAAAAACCCAATTCGTTTCAAAAGATCTAAAAGAGTAAGGAAATCAAGAAAACCCAATTTTGTCAAGATAACAGAGTATTACTCATCAGTGGTTGAAACAGAGCCGGTGAGTTCGATTTCAGAGAATTCACCTGAAGAAGATGTTGCACATTGCTTGATGATGTTATCTAGAGATAAATGGAATAAAAAAGAACAAGTTGATTTCTACTCCGATGAAGAGGAAGAAGATGAACAAGTCAAAGAAGAGAATTCAGAGGATTCTGAAGGAGGAGAAGTTAAAGTAACTACAAAGAGTACTAGAGGAAGAGGTAAGTATAGATGTGAAACATGTAACAAAGTTTTTCGGTCTTATCAAGCTTTAGGAGGACATAGAGCAAGTCACAAGAAGATTAAACTGTCAAACGAAGTGGTGGAAAGCGCGAGGAATAATAATGTAGTAGTTGAAGAGAAAATACATCAATGTCCTGTTTGTTACAGAGTTTTTCCATCGGGTCAAGCTTTAGGTGGACACAAGCGATCACATACTATTGGTGCTGTTGTTGCAACAAGTGTAACTGTTCTTCCTCCTCCGCCTCCACCTCCTGCTCCTTCTAAATTAGAATTATCAAGAACTGGTGGAACAAGTTTAATAGATCTTAATTTTCCTCCACCAATGGAAGATGATGATGAAATTATCAGTCAAGTTGAAGTTTCTGCAGTTTCTGATGCTGAATTTGTCAACCCCATCAAGAATCAGAGGTAAAGTTTTGGTCTTTCTTAATTTTTGGTGGTATTAGGAAAAGGGATTAATAGTGGATTATGGATCTAAGTTAAATTTTTCTTGGGAAAGTTGGGTTAGCTTTTACTCATTCAATAGTTTTGACTGTAATTCATAATTACTGTTGAAATTGTTCTGTTAATGTTTTGAATGTAACAGCTGATTTTACTGATAGAGGAGACAATCAAAATCACTTTCTTTTGTTTAGTTAAATGACTTTAAATTCATTTTCACATTCTTTTTTAGCTTACCAACAATGTGGACTTTAAAAAATTAATAAAATTCAAAAAACAGCAGCTACTGTAGTTAATGGTGTCTGTTTGAATTGCTGCTAATGGCCTAAATAGTGTTTCACCTATTGAATTCAACACAATCTCAAGGAGGATCAATAGAATTTTCACTTGCTCCACAAATTTAAAGATGGTAACAATGTTCAACTACTCGAGCAAACTATACTTATTAAACAACTCTTTTGTATAATTTAAATTAAATACCACCTGTGTTATGTACTAGGAGAAGCAGCAACTAATTATTTTTTCACTATTTTTTTTTTCCTTTTTCTTCTGTGTCTCACTCTTATAAATACATTTGTTGTTCTTCTGTGTCACTGTCTGACTTTCCAACACTTGTCTGATACTCAATAGTTAGAACCTTACAGATCTGAAATACTTTTTCTGAATACCCAAATGGTTCACATTTGACCCAATGGAGCTCAAATTTGTTTCTGTTGACTATATTACCCTTGAAGAGAATTTTAAAAACTATTTAGAGAAAGTTTAATCTGTTATAGCAGATAACTTGACGACACTATCAATCTCATTTAAATGGGGAGTTATTTAATTGTTTTAAACTCTTTAAGGCGTCAACATATAGTCTGACAAGAGTGGATCAATTATACTCTATAGTTTTAGTTCAAACTATACTCTAGCTTCATTTTTTGCGTGTAGAACTTAAAGTCTATTTTTTAGTGTCTTATTATTAAGCAATTTGATTGAACTACCCTTTTTCCCTTAAGGGGGATATTATGTGAAAGATGAGAGAGAGAGAGAGGAAGTTGGCAAAGACACCATTGTTTTACTGAAAGAATATTGCTTGTTTGGTTTGGCATGACCCAAAGTATCGGGTTCATGCAGGTTCTAGTGAGAGAAAGTACAAAGGATATTTTAATTTTATGTGTAGACAGTTTTATTGTGTCACATTCATGAGAACTTAATAAAAAAAATGGACCAGGGTTCCTTTTCTTTGTTGGACAAAAACCTTTTAAATTATGTGCTTTCGATATTTCTTTTTTCATAAATAATTATTTCTAGTTTTATACAACATCTTTTAATCATCATCCTACACTAAATTAAAGATCAAAAGATGAGAAAAAGTTGTATGAAGAGTAAGACTTTCTATTTTAAGTATAGTAGTTACCAAAAGAGTTTCATTAATGAATGTAACTTAAGATTTTAATGAAAATGTAATTGTGTTATTTGTACCTTATTTCAAGTACTAATATCAAAATTCTTCCTGCATTATTAAAATCTTTAGAATATTTAAGAGGCGAAAAGAGGAGTAAATTTGATTAATAGGTGGAAGAAAGGTATTTTAAAATCTTTTTGATTCTATATATATTTATATGCAAGGGACCAAAAAAGACGTCCAACAAATTAAAAGATAATATGCTTAGTCAGATATTATAAGGATTAAAATCAAATTGTATTAATTTGAGGAACCAGTAACACTATTAACATTTTTATATATCATTTGTAGAAAAGAAAGCATGGCTATTAGTCTGTTCCTAAAGGTTATAAAATCAGGTTTGCCTAATTAACAGAATGGGAGAAAAATAAGGTGCCTTTTGGGGAACGTTTAGGTCACCGTCATTTTTCTTACATGCTGATTAACATTCTTAGAGAAGCTAATAATCGACGTGGGGTTATGGATAAAGTTACTTCTTTCTCAATTAAAGATCTCACTTTCAAGTTTTGAGTATGAAAATTTCCATAGCACAAAGTGCTTCCCTCAAATGGATGTTATGCGACACTAGATGAGAAACAAAAAAAAGATATTAATAAATAAGCTGATAGAAAATATTTATTTGTATGCGATATTTATATTAAAATCTAATAATTTGGTTATAAGCGCGTCACAAATTCATAAAAAAATACATGATTTGTCACGCTTAGTCGTTCTTATATTCTTTTGCTTGATAGAAGTATGAATAAGTTTTATTCATTTCGTATTAGTTATAAAAAAAATTATTTTTATATTGCAAACCTCACCTCAAAAAAAAAAAAGTTATTCTACTATTTTAATTTGTTCTTTAATTTGAAGTTGTGGTCTAGATCACATCGAACAATCATAGTGCCATGTCGGATTATGTGTTGTGTCTCAAAATCGTAAATTTTGGGCTTCGATGAGGAAGCATGTCCAAGTAAAAATCTTTTTTTTAAAAATAATAATAATAATAATGAAACTTTAGATAAATATTTTAGAACTTTTTTTTCCTCTTATTTTTTAGATTCCATTGACCAATTCTGCATTTATCTGTTAGGGACATTTAACTAGGTTGAAAACGTACCTTGGCCTTTTAAAAACACTCGTTTACAAATTCAAATTGTATTATTTATTCTTCTCTCACAAAAAATAAAAAAAATCTCGTTATAATTGAATTTGACCTTTTTTTGGTGAATTAAACAATACAAATTAAGTCATAGCCAAGTTGATTGAATATTTGAAACTTAATGATTTGAGTACTGACACGAGTCACTTGACAAAAAAAAAAGAAAATTAATTTATCACTGATCATTAGAAGGTGGTTTATTTTCTGGAAATTTTAATTAGATTATTACCATATACATTTTGAGAGGAAAAAAAAACATCCAACTTGCATATAATGTCCTTTGTGTCTCATTCTTTTTTCCTTTAGTCCATTCTTTAATGTTTCTGGTTGTAAGCAAAAGTCAACTTCCACCACTATAACCTCCATCAGAATCCCACTGTCAAATTTGTTTCTAATCATGTTATAGCACGTAATAACTTGTATGTAGTTAAAATGAGTATTTGATTTCTCGAATGATCACGTAACTAATATGTACTAGTTAATATTTCAGAAAGTCATCTTTATTGATTTAGTAATCATCCGAGAAATCAACTCGTAGAAAATTGATTCAGCACACATGAATGTTTTGAGAATTGCTAAAAATATTAATATGATTATGTTTCCATCTTCTCGTACTTTTAGATAGATTATGAATCATGAAACCGCGACTTAAATAAATTTCAATTTTTAATAATAGAAACTTGTCAAAGAAAAAGAACGTTTAGTAAAATATACTAGTATAATGTAATAATAAGTACTACCTTAATTAATAACAACGTTTCCAGAAAGCAAAAGAGAAAAAGTTGCACTATGATAATAACAAAAAAAAAAAACGCTAATTGGTGAACCAAATGAATTACTTATTTCTTTGATTTCTTGGAAGTGAAATTTCCACTAAGAATCAATAGATTCTTGGGTTCACATTCAAAAGTGGATAAGTCATCGTCAAGGACAACTCTTTGTCTCTTTTGATGGGTCTTAAAGAAATCTTAACCTTTGCTTATCTACAAATAAATGACCATCTAATCAATAACCACACAAACACTCATTCACAATGTGGACAACTCTTTTATTTTTATTTAATAAGTGTGATGTTCGAGTCAGTTTACACGTACACTTTAATTAATTTACAGGGTACTTGCTACATGTACTTGCATATATGAGAAGAAATTATCTGGCATTTGTGTTTGTTTTCGCAAATTTTGATAATCTTAAATTTTTTATTTCACATCATAAATCACTAGATCAGATACATTGCGTATGTTTTAACAATCATCATATACATTAATTGTGTACGTTCCCCCTATATTTTTTATGTAATTTTTTTCATATTTTTTTGTAAAATTTTTATAGTATATTTATCGTCGAAGTTAAATTGACCGAACAATAATTTTGATTAGCTTGACTTGTCTTCCTAATTACTCATTGGTTTGGCCTTCATAGTTATGGCTTGTCATTAGTCGGTGGGTCGATTGGTGCCTTTTTTCATATTCTTAAATTTTTGGTATATATATTGGTGGGGTCTTTTTTTTTTTTTTTTGGTCAAGTCTTTGGATTAAAGAATTGACCTTAAATTTGCTAGCATGCAACTTCAAAATGTGTGAGTCAATTGTCAATGTTGTGATGTATATTTGGTACACCTCTCTTGTCTCTTCAAAAGTTGATACAAAGACTAGAAACCTTCACGAGACTCATCATTATTTTCTCATTGCTTTGAAGAGAGTATTTAATATATATCGCTCAACTGATGTAGTGTAGTGGATGGAGTTGCTCATTTCTTAATCAGATGTTTAAAATTTGGATATGAAAAAAAATCCTTAGTATAAAGCGTTTCTCCTGAATGAGCTCTTATGTAGCTCAAATTTGAAATAGTCGAACTTTGCTACATTCTGAACTGGAAAAAAAAGTAATCAATGTATAGCTAGTTCAAATTCCAATCTGTGATGACGGCGCTTAAATTATTACTATTCAAATAAAAAGGCACAAGAGATGAAATACCCGTCATGTATGAATCCATACAATTTTGACAAGAATTAAAATGTTGAATCACTTCTACTGGACTTTTTATATTTGTAGTAACTTCCAAACTATATATCACGTATGCAGCCTTTGTCCTTCGAGAAAAGTATAAGCTTCCAGGTGTGTTCGGTATGGATAGAAACGTTTTCAATTTTCTTATGTTTCGATTGGGCAAATATTTGAAAAATATTCTCTTAATGAAAATATTTATTTATTTTTAAATAAAAAAAATGACTTTTCTAATAAAAGTAGGAGAAACAAAGTCCACTCAATAGTTTTCACTAAGGCCCGGGGGTTCAAAAATATGAAAAGTGAATACAGGAAGAAGCCGAAGAAGTCCAATATCTATATAAAAAAAATTATTAATAATAATCATGTAAAAACTGTGTAATTTTTTGAAGAAGAGGGTTTGGATGAACCCCTCAGTCATACCTAGCTCCGCTCCTGGCTCTACTAGTAACATTCCATATTGATTGTATCTTCCCCACATTTCCACCTTCCATAGTAGTATTTATCTAAATTATATACATATGTTTTTAGGAATATATTTTTTGCTTAGCTACCGAATACCAAAAAGTAAATAAAAAACAAATTATTTTCCTAAAATATATTTTTCGAAAAAACATTTTCATACCGAATACACCCTCAATTTCTCCTTGTTGACCAACTCGTTTGATATAGAAAATAATTTAATTTTAATCCATGGTCTTCTGATTCTCTATTTTTCGTGGTAATTATGGGGCAGTTTCTACTAAGTTTCCTTGAAGTTTTGTTAGTGTTGTGTTGCACAACAAATGTTAACAACACATTAAATTTCCATACTTTTTATGTCTCTCTTTATCAACAACTACTACTAGAAGAATGGAAGATTGGACAGTTCTACCCAACTTCCACCTTAGGATCACAATATATTTTTTTTTTTTTGGTTTTCCATCCGGTGTCCGGAGTCCACATTGGAGCTCCGATTAAATCCGGATCGTGTACTGCAGGGCCCATTCGGGGGTGACGCTCCCAACATGAATTTCTCCATACCCAGAGCTCGATCGAACCCGAGATTAGGATCACAATATAAATACTTTATCCATCTCAAATTATACATGATTTTTTAAAAATAATTGTCTTAAATAATTTTTCATTTTAGAAATTCAGACAAAATTAATTATTTTTTTCATTTTATTTTTAATAGTAGTAATTATTTTTTAAGACTACAAATATCTTTAAAAAGTAAATATTTAATGAAGAAAAATTATATTTTAAAATATATATAAATTTTACTTTTAAAAGGCGTGTAAAATAAAAAGATGACAGATAATTTGAGACCAAAAGAATAGCTCTTAATTCTTTTTCAAGGGAAGACGCTCTTGAGAGTTCAAATAGGTCACCCACAAACTTAAATGATGTTGACTTTTATATAATGGAACAATGACCTCAACAATTTTGGTAAATGACTAGCTAAAACATTAATTCACTTGCTGGGCTCATGATCCAAAATTTTAATATTCTGAGGATGATCAACTTGTTTGGTAATATACCAAAAAATTAATGCGAATCCGTTTTTTCAAATTTTCATGTGCATTTCCTCATCTTCATACTACAAAAGATTAAAATTTCACAATCTTTCGTTTAAGTATTAAGTGATTATCAAGTTTTTTAATGGAAAAGGTCCTAATATGCCTTTTTGAAGTATTCAAAATTGAACAGATAATGCTCTTTATGAATATTTTAACTCACATAGTCAATAATTAATTCAAATATATCCTTAATTTAAGTAGAGTCTTCGACTGACCTAATTAATTGATTAATAAGTGAAAAGGAACCAAATATCCAAATATATTTTTAAATTATGCAAAATTGAGCAGATCTGTTTTAATATTTTTTGTGAAATGTGTAAATTGAAAAGTAGCTAGCTTAGCTCAATGTGTTTAGCTCATCTAGACCATCTTTTTTGACATGGAAAATTTATAATATGGAAATATGACAATTGTGTGTCAATAATTTCCCCCCCACTCAAATATTATATAAATGGTACTACTATATGAAAATTCTTAGTGTAATTAGTTCAGGACCACAACTATACATTGATCCCAACCTATAAAGTTCCATCACATTACTTCCCATTAATTAGCCCAATTAGTCAGCAACTTAAAATAAATTGTGTGCCGAATTCCTACGTATGATTTGGTTCATCTTCCATATATTTTCTATCTTTCAAATCACTTGCCATTAAGTAAATTTGACTTTTAAATTTCAATTAAAGTCGATAGTGAAATTTTCGAAGACTTTACAAACACTATGGTGTTTCTAGTGCGGATGAAAGTATTTTTTATTTTTTTCGTGTTTGGTTTGTCAAAAAATTTTAAAAATATTTTCTTGAAAAAACAAATTACACAAATGACATAAAAAAATATCGTCTCCTTCTCACTCTCCAAGGACCCATTTGGCTATAGATATTGCTAGTAGTTTTTGGAAAAAATTGTGGCAAAATTTTGTTTCGCCATAAAAAAAAAATAATCATTTTTTGGGCCAAAATCTGATTTTTGGTTTTTTTTATTGATAATTTTAATTCAAAGTAAGAATTAGACAAATGTCAATTGAGTTAAAATATCTTACCAAATATTGTTATTACAACAATTGGCCATTCAGGCGTATTTCTTGTCGATGAAGTATAATTTATGAAGCTCTAGCAACGCATAATAGAGTTCCGCAAAGTATGGAGTCGTTTTGTTTGGGAATGCTTTATCTCTTAAATGTAATTTTTTTTATGCAAATTCAAATTTAGTCGAGCTCCAATATGAATATAGAAAATCAGATAAGAAATCAAAAAAAAAAAAAAAAAGGTTCCACACACCTTTGTTATTCCATATTTTTTCTTCATGCTAGCAGTTATTGGGTATGATATTGGAATTTATTCAGTTTAAAGTTTGACATGTCGTAAACGTGAATCGTTTTAAATGAATAATAAATTCAAAAAACACAAATTATCAAGAGAGGCTCATATAAAAAATTTGAGATTGTTTAGAGGAGATTTGAGTTGGTCGGAATTGAAAGAAAAATTAACTCGTTGAGGAAGATGAACGGTTACAATGTATAAATATTGTATAAACAATGCATATAGATGTATACATCTCTGACACATAGTTATACAAAATTTATGTAATTATACACTATTTATACAATACATTATACATACATATTGATACATCACATATATGTATACGTGTGGTCATTTTCTTGAATTTTTTTTTTGTTGCATGTACATTTACGTAAGAATCCCAATTTAAGACTTATTCCAAAATTTTATATTCTATATATAAAAAAGTCCATCAATTATGAATCCAACTATAATTCTATGTACCCAACACATCATTAAACACATTCTTATTAAACAGATTGTTCGTAGAATATGAAAAGATTATACTAAAGAAAAACAAATTATTAGCATTGTTATTATTTATTTTCCTGCGTCTATGAATTTTTATAACTAATTTTTATAAATTGTATTAGTTGGTAATTGTATAATTAGTATTTTATTGAAATATTGTGTTATAATTTTTTGATAATGTATTATCTAGTTCATTATAAAATATGATAATTGTGTCGAACTTGTGGGTATAAATCATATTTCATGTTTTCTTTTTTATTTTTAAAAAATGAAATATGTTTCTAAAAAATTATGGTCAAACACATGTTGAAACTTCGCCAAACAAATTATTTTCCAAAAATATTTGAGCTTAATCTATGGCTAAATGTTAGCTTAATCTTCACCCACCACCCCGTAGCCTATATCCTTCCATTTCTACTTCTCATAGTATTTATCTAAATAATTATATATAATATTTCTAGTTCATCCCTATCAATGTGTTTTAGACTCTTTCTCTTGCTAAGACCTTGGTCAATGAATCTGTAAAAATTATCATAAAATTTGACAAAATCAACCCTAACGATATCTACTTGAACACTCATAAACTTGAAATTCTGGATCATTCATTTAAACAATCTTAATTTGATTAGAACAAGTTTTGCATGAAAAAGGATTCACGCCATATATATGTGTATATACTATTGAATTATGATTGGTGGGTTGCTTCATATGGGCTGATCTGATTCGATTAGAGAAAAAAAAGAGTAAGAGTAGTTAAGAGAAGTTGTCATTCCACTACAACTTCTGCAAATGTATAAATTGTGAAAAGTGACGTGTAGAAATGTTCTGAATGAGTTCTTGTCATTTTAACTGTTTTATCTCGGAATAAGTTGAGTTATTTCAAAATTATTATTCCACTTAGAGGCTGGAATAGTTTATACTAGTACTGATTATTAATCATGAATAAGTTATCTAACTTTGTACTCCCTTAGATGTTTTTTAATTGTCATAGTTTCCTTTTTGAAAGTCAATCGATATGAACTTTAATTAACATTGTAAGATGTATTTTTTTAATCATATTGATATAAAAAAATTACAATCTATATATTTTTTGTGTAAATTTTTATTTTAAAATATCGAATTAATGTAATCTAATTTAGTTTTAAAAAATAGATAAATTGACTCTCAAAAAACACACCATGAGGGAGTAGCCAAAGACGAGATTAAGGGATATTAGAAATTTATCCCAAAATTATGTTCCTTTAACCATCACACCAAACATGTCCTAAATCCTAATATTATATTACAAGATAATATGTCGATTTATACACAAATTTTATATTTCTTGAATTAGATAAATGGCGAATTCTTTTTTTTTTTTCTTTCATAAAAAATAAAAATAAATGCCCAAAAGAGAGAAGAAACGACATCCCCAAATCCCAATTGACTGAAAACCCTATATATAATGTACAATGAAGAAGTGTAACGTAAATTGAAGGAAGAAATCCATGGATTTTTCCGGTCAGTACCAGCAGCAACAACAGGGGGCCGCTGATCCTTCTCAAATGTATGCTCAATACCCACAACAATCGACTGACCCTTCTCAAATCCAATCATATGATCAATCTCACTACCAGCAACAACAGCCGGCGGACCCTTCTCAAATACAACCCTATGATCAATCAACACAAGCTTACTATGCATATCAATACAATCAACAATACTACTATCCTCAAGACTATTATTCAAATGCCTATCAACAACAGCAATACCAGCCTGAATCCACTTCAATTCACCCACCTGGGGTTCCGATTCCACCGTCTTCGGATCCTTATGCTACACAGCAGCAACCCCAGTATTCGTATTATCCTCAACAACAACAAGGAATTAACTATGGAGAGGTTGCTACTGTGACAATGCCCAATGTCTCCCACACACCTGCGGTATGAAATTAATTTGCTTTTTTTTTTGATCTTTGAGCTCTGGTAGTGTAAATGTTCATAGAATGCAATCTGGGTATATTTGATTGGGAGGATTTAAGAATTTTTGAGTTTATTGAAGCGTTTGTTGTTTGGATTTCTGTAATAACCTTTAAAATAGTATAAAAAATTGAAACTTTTAATGGAGCACTAGTCCTAAATTGATGTACTAATCAATCATTGTTAATAATAACATTATAGATAGATGACATATGCGATGATTGAATGGTTTGGTGCGAAGCCTGGGTGTGGTAGTTTTAGGTCTTTCTTCTTCTTCTTCTTTAGAAGTTAAACAGGCAATTTTAAGAACAAAAAAGTTAGCACAAAGATTGTGCTTGATAATATGTACAAAATTTGATTGTGATTATGTGGCCTGTAGGTAGTCGAGTGGTACTTAAAGATCAGGCATTTTATAAACTTCATTTACAAGAATCAAATGATACCAATTAATGGACATTTGATACTTTTAGATAAAAAACAATGACTTAGGCCAGCCTATGATAAAAGGCTGTTAACTGGAAAAGTTGTTCCTTTTGTTTTGTTTATGCAAAGAGCATTGGTTAATTGTATGTATTATCATTTTGAGAGCATGAATTCACGTTTCAAAAAGCTACATTGTTTGTATCTCAAGGGAATATTTTTGGTTCCAAGTCTTCATGGTGCAGATTAGGGGGGTCATATCATACTGCTAGTTAGGTACTCCATCTGTTTCAATTTATCTCTTTAAAATAGAATGTCACTTTCTCTATTTAGTAACTCTTGAATTCCAACATTCTACATGACATGTTGACATGTTTAAGACCAGAGTATTTTACTTGTTGAAAGAATTTCAAAAGGACAAGAAACTGAAGGACATAATTCTATATGTGTATTTTTCTCTGTATCCTTGTGAAGTTCGTTATGTTATTACTTTTTTTGTAAAACATAGGCATCTAACATAAGCTATAACTATGATTCTTTGAGCATTTTTGCCTGCAGTTTACTTAGACCTTCATAGCACTAGCTATATGTTAACAAAATTAAAACACACTGATTATTTAACTAAACTGCTTGAGCTTGGTACATTTGAAATTGATAACAAAGCTAAGCTTCCTGCCAGAAGAAGCAGAGTGTGAGCAAGTCTATTGTGTCTGTTTTGCTCAGCTAATTATACAAGATCTCTACTGTATTTTGCCTGCTTTATACGAGCTTTGTTTAGGAAACAGGTAAGATTGTCTCTTGATTGAGAAGCAACAGTTTCCTCTCAAAGACTCTATAAACCAGATCAGCAATCTTTAAAAGATATAATTAGCTGAGCAAACAGCCTGTCACACTAGGCAAGCTGATAAGGTGAGCTTGAGCTTCAACTACATATCATGGAATTGGCTCAAGTTTGCACTCGAGCTAATACCAGCTTGTGGATTGTTACAGTGTCAATCAGACCAAGCTCAAACAGCCTGTTGTCATGGCTCAATTAGCATGGATAACTCTCTTTCCACTTAAAGTTGCTTTTCTCCTTTGCAGAAATGCTTAGTCACAAGAGTTGGGATTCCCTGAAGATTTTACTGGTGTTTGATATGGTACAAGATCTCTCTAAGTCGAGAGAAGTACACTCTTTTTCTCTTTTCTTTATTCCTTTGGCATTTCCTCCTCCCCAACTCACCATTCTGGTGGGTGCTTCATGTATTGCTGTGTGATTTGTATCACAAGTTAGATCACTTCTGAAAGAGTAGGAGGAGATTTCCATTGGTTAGCCCCTGGTTCTTAAAACTTTCAACCATAAGTAAATTTTACCCATACCTAATAGAGTTTTGCAGTGACGGGGTTCCTTCTTTTTTTTATTTTTGTATAGGAGATCAAACTGTAATTGACAAACATCACCTTACTGTTTGGCTGTTTATTTTAATGAACTCCTTACCTACCAGTTCAAAAAAATTGTTTATCAAACTAATGTATGCTTACCTCTTGTAAGATTCAGATTCCAACATATATATACAAAGTTACCAGTTTAAAAAAAAAAAAAAACACTAATGTATGCTTACAGTATCTATGTTATTGAAAAGTTGATGCAGCATTTCCTAAATGATTTAGAGCCTGCTTGGATTGGGCTATTTTAGGTGCTTTTAAGCCAAAATAACAAAAATAAGCCAAAAGCCATAATATAGAATTCCTAACTTATGACTCATGCTTATAAGCCATAAGCTAGCCTATAAGCCCATCCAAACATGCCCTAACCTGTTTTCATCTATTTAGCAGTTAATAGGCTGCAACTCTCTCCAGTATAATAGTTTTCGACCAGTCAAATTTGACCATCTCGTTTTGATTGATTATTTTTTTCTTCCTAAATTGATTGAAAGGCTACTCAAAATTTTCTTTCAAGTGGTCCTAAAGTGAAAGGTAGGTTTTGTAGAACGCTTATAAGATACATCAATTATATATGAGAGTGAATGTTGGGCTGCTTAAGTTCAATACATCCACAAGATGTGTCACAAAGATGTAGATGCTAAGATGGATGTGTGGTCACACACAAGATTAGACAAGATTAAACAACATAACCTTACCAATTTCAATTTTTATTTTTTTTTAAATGTTGACATTCGGCAAAAGGTGCAAGTATCACACATTAAAGGTAAAATAAGAGAAGGTCACTTGAGATGGTTTGATCATGTCCTATGTCGACCTCCAGAACGTGGTGTGAAATCATGGTAAATGAAGTTTTTAAAAGGGTCGAGTTAGACTTAAATCACATAAAAAAGTACTTTTAGTTGGGTTGAAGTACGTTTACTTTCGGTCATATACTTTCTAGAAGTGTTAATCCTACAAGAGATGTATATGCTTTCTTTTTTATTATCATTTTATTTTGTTTAATATGGCGTGATGAGGTTAAATGGAGCAACATTTTTGGTGAGGATTCATATAGTTGACCACAACTTGTCTAGAAAGAGGCGTAGTTGTTGGTGTCATTGTTTTGCCTATCAAAAATAGAAACAGTTACCTGTATGTTATTTAACATAAGAATATGCATTTGACGGCTTTTCAATTTATTAACACTTTTCTCTTTCTGTTCCTAGGAAATTTGTAATATATGGCCTCCATATATTTTTCATTACATGATCAACATTGGTATTCAAAATCTTTCAAAAATAAGCATGTTTTTTTTTTTGATGAAGTCAAAAATAAGCATGTTTTTCTTTGGTCCACCACTTTAAATGGTTAAATAATCTGTTCTTCATGTTTGAGATAGACCTGGTTAATATCTTCCGGATTCTAGGATTTACTTGAAATAGTTTTTTAAAATTGTGAACATATTTGATACTGTAATATTTTTGCCTTAATGTTAGTCTACACAAGACTGATTATTTTAGAGGATTGAGGGCATTTTTGCTGGTAAAAGTAACTCTTTTCCTTTTGCCATTATCTATATTTTATATTAGACTGAATATTCACTTCCTCCCACTTTCCAGTATTGACCTGACACCGTGTTTAGTGTTGATACTGTATAATACCTATTAGAACTTAAAAGAGATCAGCTTCTTACATGTTGAACGGAGTTGACTACACAAAAAGTCCCTAAAAGTTCGGTTCACTACCCCAGACCTAAGTTGCCCACACTCTTCACTTTTGATGTCTCACCCGTGTTGGATTCTCCAAAACACTACTTTTGGAGAATTCCACACGCACCCTTTGACATTTTGGATGAGTTCGAGCAACATAGCCCCAGACAATTTGGTTGACTTGCCGGGATAGAAAGTAACAACAGAATATTTCAAAGAAAACCGAGAAATATTCTTAACCTCAAGTTTAGAGCTATTTTGTTGCTGTGCTTTTGGTGCAAACTAGTTGTTGTACAGTATTTAGATATCTTGTTAGATTAGATTGGAGAATTGCACAACTTGTAACTATGTTTTGTTGCACTGGCTTAGTGCTTTCTCCCTTTTAATGCAATACCTTATTTCTATCCAAAAAAATAAAAAACTTTAAGAGCTCAGTATGGTATTCATACCTATTAAAAATTAAGGAAAATTAATGGTAGAGTATATAAAGGTTCGTAATATACTAAACTCTTAAAGGTTGTGCCATACTTAGGAATCTTGGTATTTTGGTATTTTCCCATTTTATAACTACTTTTCCTGTTTCATGTAATCTAAAATTGTCTTTTCATGTAGTCTAAACTCCTCACTTCTAGTGGTCTAAACATCTACATGAGGATACTCTTGTATATTGCTCTAGTCAATTCTGTACGATCTCTTTTCTCTTCTCTTATTTTCATGGTATTAGAGAAAGCAAAAGTATTTGGTCAGATTCTTCGTAAAAAAATTCCCGTGCTTTGCCCATGAAACAAACTTACCCAAATGTAAAGGACGTGTTAGAGACATAATTAAGTAAATGACTGTGTTCCTTCACAACTCAAGCCTTTAAAAGAGACGTCCGACACAATTCAATATGGTATTAGAGTTTCTGCGATCTTGGGAAATTTTAAGTAGCTTCTACCTTAAGGTTGCCCACATTGCAAATGAATTTCCTTCTTACATAATTTTATTAGTCTTGTCTCTTCTGGTGACTGTTCTAGAGTCATTATTCTACTATGCAATGATGATTTTTGCATCATTACCTTTTCCAGTTTCCTTTTGCCATTATTTTGGCCATTTGTTTCTGCAGTGTGTGCCACATTTACCGTTCATCATTCAATTGACCTGTCAAGTGTGTTCTCTAACTTGTCAAATTAGCACTCTATTTCTGTTGACTTGTCAAGTCAGTAGTCCATATTTGTCTGCTCAGCGCCTTGTTAATGCTACTTCACTGCCAACTATGCGTCACTGCCTAGTCAGGGCCACATCGTCATCCAGCGACAGGACCCTCTCCAGTCAGAGCGTGCTTGAGCTCCACATCGCCTTCCACTGGCAAGTGAGTTTCTGGTGAGCAATTCACTCTCCAGGAATTGCTCAGTTATCACTACATTGTCATTCAGTGAAACACCGCTCTTCAACCAGCGCCTTGTCAGTGCCAAGTCGACATCCAAGCGATGTCACTATCTGGCCATCAAACATAATCTTTACTGAAACGATCTACATGTAACTAACTGTCATATGTATTACACTTGCACATTTATGAGTCATATCCTGGCACTCGTCCTTGTACTTCTGTTCATATTCATGAATCCTTCAATTTACTTAATGATGAGATTTATTCCTATATCGGATGCCTGCCTTTAGGGCTGTAACATAAGCTTTATTTTTGGTTTGGTTGGCTCTTGCCATAAGCCTCCACGTGCCTTGTCGCCAATGCGTTGCTGCTTTGCTGGGTTGCTAGCATTCTTTGTGTTGTCTCTTTGCATGTGTTTCCCCTTCAAATGAGTCATTGGAGTGAGATATTTAGTCTCACACTTTCTGTAACATTAAGATGGCTGATTTTCTTTTCTTAGTTGATTGCATTTTTTGATCAATAATTAAAACACTGATGGAGTTGTATTAACTTTATTCGTAAGTGAGAACTAAAGTTAAATTTGCTTAATCTTCATGAGTGGTCCTTATGGAGGTTCCCAACTTCTTTACATTGAGAAAGCTTCCCTGAATAAGGTTGTTGGTGGTCATGGATGTTTTTCATTTTCATTTTCCCAGTAGGTTTGATATTCTGAGCATGTTTTCTTATTTTGATAAATTGATGGTCATACCTGTTCAAGTGGCGAATGCACCTACATTTAGGAACAAATAGGCTTGGTTTAGATTGATGAAGCATTGTGTTAGGAACAAGTAAAGTTAGGACTTAGGAACAAGTAGGGTTGGTTTACATTGATGGAACATTGTGTTACAAAAAGATGAATGAATGATATCCATGTTAAATATAGTTTCAGCAGCTAAAATCGGTTGACTTTTATTTACTTTAGATTCATGGCTTTGTTTTAGGGCCTACACATGAATTAGCAGAGGTGTTAACTAGTATGGTAGGGCAAGTATGATAACTATTTTTAGGCATTTAAGCGATTGTCATTTGATATGTTCAAGAACTTATCCTTTTGGGTCTCATATCATAATGCAATATGGAATCTAGATATAGTACTTCCACATACTGTTCACAGAGCTGACTGTTTGTAGGGTGAAATTTGAAGGATTATTCTGATAAAGAGTTGCTTCTTGATGTAGCCTTATGTTTTAAACTGATGCTAGAGATGACATACAATATATCAGTGGTAAGTTCAACAAAATGAAAGAGAATGTCGTTCACCATCCTTTAACATGGTGAAATTATCTTGTAAAAGAGGTGGCTAGCATTTGGGTTCTGTTTTCTGTTTTCTGCTTTTTTTGTCCTGTTAACTTCCTCATTAGTGATCAGAAACACTTATGGGTATATTAAATTCCTTAACTGCAAGTTAATCCAACATTATCTCTGAATTGGTAATTCACTTTTGTTCATTTTCCTTCTGCGGGGTTGGGGGGAGGGTGGGAACAAGAAGATGCATGCATGAGCTTTCTTTGCTTATCCCCATTACTATGTCAAGTGTGTAACACCTAGACATAAAGTCCCTGCAGTCAGTCAAGTCTTAGGGTGCCAACAAATTTATACTTGCTACTATTATAGACTTCTTTTCTCTTCCAATATTCGACTTGTATTAATTGGTTTTACATCATGGAGGAGCCTGCCTTCTGTAATACTGATTCTGTTTGTTCGTTTTGCCAATTTCTCTACCATTCCTTCAGCTCCGCTAAGTTACTTCATGTCTTCTGCTGCTCATACAATTGTGTGCTGATTTGCTTTTTGTCTAATTTTGTTGTGTTGACTTATTTAAGATGACGAGATTGGTTCTTTTGGTGTATAAATTACTGTTTTAACTTGGTATCAGCATTGAGCTCTCCAGCTGATCCATTGATGTAAAGAATATTCCAAATCTTTGAACATATTTGCATTCTGCAGATCGCACCATCTCCATATAAAGGTAAAGGTAAAAGGGGTGGCAGGCCCTATAGAGGAGGTGCCCATGGCAATCTTGGTGGTGGGCAACAACAACCTAGCTACACATTACCAACATATGCTGAGAACCAACCAAAAGTTTTTCAAGGAGCATCACAAATCCAAGGTGGCCTATCCCAAGTTAAACCTTCATCATCTGCCTCAGGTAATTCAGCTCCTGTCCGTCCACCTCGTATGGCTTGGTGCGAACTCTGTAGGATTGAATGCAACACACCTGAAGTTCTTGAACAGCATAAGAATGGAAAGAAACATAAAAAGAACCTGAAAGCCTATGAAGAGCGACAGAAACTGAACAAACAGATGGATGGAGCACATGGTAACCAGACAACAAATTCTGAAGTTAAGCCAAGGGTTTCTTACCAGCCTGCAGTTGAGGGATCTGGGCAGCTGCCTCTGGGGCATTTGCCTTCTGAAACTGTAACTGGAGACAGACAGCCGCTGCCCCAAGAGAAGCTTCCTCCTCAAGCTGTTATAGAGGAAGATGTTGGTATTACCGGGAAACAAAAGGTTGAAGAGACAGATCCTGTGGATCATATTCAAGGTCAAGGGCGTGGAGTCAAGCGCAATCTAAGAGGTGGGCGAGGTGGTAAATTGATGAAGACGCAGAATGGCTCAAGAAAACCTGCTGTGCCTCCTAAGCCCCAAAAAATGGTTCCTTTAATATGTGAACTCTGTAATGTAAAGTGTGAATCAGTAGTTGTTTTCCAAAGCCATCTGGCAGGAAGGAAACACCTTTCAAATGTTAAGGACTTCCAAGGCCAACAAGCAATGGTTGGACAAGCTGCTCTCCAAGCATTATACCCTGCTTTGCAGGCTCTTTACCCAGCACTTCAGGCACTATGCCAACCTAGTTCTGGTGCATCAACTTCTGTCGCTCCTCAAGGTCATCAGCACAATCTTCATGAAATACTGGGTATTTTGACTCAACAAGCCCTTTCTGCTATCCCTCAAGATCAATTATTAGGTATTGGAGCAGCAGCCACTTCGGCTATCCCTCAAGATCAATTATTAGGTATTGGAGCAGCAGTCGCTTCAGCATTTCCTCCACCTTCAGATTTATTAGCTCAGGACCACCAAGGTTCCAAATTACAAGGTTCAGTATCAGAAGAAACAAGAGAGAATGCTGCTGCGGAGGACAGCAGAAATTGTGACCTTTCGGTTTTACCGAGCACCGAGTCTAAACCAGAAGAGAGCACTGATAATAAACATGAAAATGTGAACTTAGAAGTTGATAGAAAAGTTACGTCTGTTGAAGAACCATTGAGGTTTGGCACTAGCGGGGATGTGTCTTCTACATCAGGAGCAGTGAGTGCAGCTGTTTCAGTTTCAAACAGTGAAGTAGTGTCATCAGATTGCGCTGCCCATTCTGGATTAGATGGGAAATTGGCTGATTAAAGTCATTAATTCTTCAATAAATTAATGAGTGGTGGGCAAGACCACAAGAAGGTTTTATAAATGTAGTTAAACTTTCTCTTTTGGAAAAAGTGAATAACATTTTGAAGATGTAGGTGAAGTGGTGGTGTTCAGGCCTTTTCATGACTCTTTGACATATATGCAGATCTAAAACATTCTTAATCATTTTAGCCAACTGTTAAGATTTTATTTGATGGTTTTGGATTCGCCTAGGAAGCGTGAAGGCTTGCATTTCTTGTTTTGCTATTGATTTTGGGATGTTGATTTGTGGTTTCATGTCATCAGTATCTGCATTCATTAGAAGTCACTTGCACTTTCTTCCAGTTCATCTCCTTTCAAACAACACAGCTTTCAAATTAAGAAGGCAACACTTGGACCCCCAGACATGAATATTTTATCAGATGCCAGTAACTCATTTTTCTCTGCTATTTTTCCTTTTTGATAATGATGGCGTCTGGATCAAATTGTGTGCAACTCAATTATTCCAGTAATTGCATAATACCTTTTACCAGCATGTATACCAGGTAATTATATCCATCAAACTTTCATTGCAGCTGCTATAGTGAAACAAGAAGTATCTCATATAGATGTGTCTCATGTAGTTCTGTTTCTGCTTATACACTAGATATTTGACATCAACTTCTAGTATTTTGCATGTGTTATCTTGTGCACAATGTTACATACTTGAAACCTCCTAGTGTTACAGAAAATTTTCACCTAGTTCAAGTAATATCTGAAAAAGGAAGAAGATAATTTTCTTTTCCAATAAAAAAATTATCTAAGTATTTTGGCTTCTCATATCTTATAAACCAATTCAGAAAGGGGTAGATTTAGAAAATTATGATAACTCATTGGTTCATTTGGTATTTTGATATACGATTAGTTTCTACGTTTTTTAGATCGAATTTTTTTTAACATTTAAAAACGTATATATCCAATGTTATATTCAGTAAAGATATGATATGATGTACTCAATGTGTCCGAGCCTGCCCCATTGATATATTAGAAATGATACTTGCGATGGTTGTAATGCTAAACAAGCTTTTGCTTCATGAATAAAAGACTTTATTGATTGTAAGAGATTTCCGTCTGTCCAACAAATTTCTTACATTTTATGATCATCAAACTTTTTTACATAACAATTATCTTCGATGACAATATTTTACTATAACTGTCAAAAAATAATTTGAAACCAAATTTTGGCGAAAGTTCCTCGGGTACCTTGAATATCAACTTGTTTGCGATTTTGTTGTTTCCTACTTTGCCATTAAGAACCCTCAAAATGACTAGTTATTACCTATTCCATCAATCCTAATTTTATTGTGTTTCTTTTACTTTTTACTTTTGATGCCAGTTCTAAAATACATCATCTACGACAAATGATATACTCACATAATTTTACTTTTTTAAAAGCAAAATATTATTTCTAATTTCAATAACATAAAACAATAACGCAATACTATTTTTCTAACTTTAGTGGTTACATTAGTGTAAAGAGAGGATTCAGTCATAAAAACAATAGCGTGAAGATTTTGAATTTGAATATCAATTCCAATATAATGCAATCCTTATCCGTCCCTGTCTTTATCGCTATATTATTTGATACCGCTCTTGCAGATTATAACAATCTATCCATAAATCATTATCGTAAAGGGAAGATTCAGTCATAAAAACAACAACGTGAGGATTTTGAATCTGAATATCAATTCCAATATAATGCGAGCCTAATCCGTTCCCATCTTTATCGCTAAATTACTTGATATCGCGCTTGCAGATTACAAATCCATAAATCATTATCGTAAAGGGAAGATCCAGTCATAAAAACAACAACGTGAAGATTTTGAATCTGAATGTCAATTCCAATATAACGCAAGCCTAATCTGTCCCCGTCTTTATTGCAAGATTACTTGATATCGCACTTGCAGATTATAACAATCTATCCATAAATCATTATCGTAAATGGAAGATTCAGTCATAAAAACAACAACGTGAAGATTTTGAATTTGAATGTCAATTCCAATATAATGCGAGTCTAATCCGTCCCCGTCTTTATCGCTAAATTACTTAATATTACGCTTGCAGATTATAACCGTCTGTCCATAAATTAGTTGAGAGAGTACATGCTAATCTAGTCACCAACGCCATAATTTTTTTTAAAATTAATTTTCAACTATCATTAATTTTCATTTAAATTGAACATTTTCTCTAGCACATAACTAAAAATTAAATCTTTTAGCTTCTTCTTACAAACTCTCTGTATTTGAATTGTTTGGATATATTTAGTAAAAATTTAATTTCAGAAGAATTCCAAGTGAAAGCACAAGGATTATAGATAAAAAAATCTACATTTCCTTTTCCCCCTTGTAGTTTTTTTCAGTATATAAATACGAAACAAAAGTCAGCAAATACGGAATAATCTCTTTACATGAACCGCGATTGTTGCTTTGGTTATCTATCGTCTTCTACATGATCACCGCTGCAACTCCTACTGCTACTGCAATCACCTGAAAAACTTCACAAAAATCACCTGAAAAAAAATGAAAAAATCGAACTTTAGTTTGCCTTTGCCCCAAAAATCTATGAACAATTCAAGACAGCAGCTTTTTGATTCCCTCACATCTCACATTTCTCTCTACAATTCACAAAACCCCCCATTTCCTAATCATAACCCTAACCCTAGATCATCGCTTATCAAATGGTTCTCTTCCCTTTCGATTCCTCAACGCCAAGCTCATCTCACAATTGTTCACTCGAATTTCGTTCAAATCCTGTTGCAAATGCTTGGTAAACTTCAATCCAACGGTCATGGTTTTTTCTTCATCCTACCTGACATGCCTTCAGATGGTTCTGATCTTCCAAGCATTTGTTTCAGGAAGTCTCATGGGTTATTAGCTCGAGTTGCGGAGTCGAATGAGTCGGAACGGCGAGTTCGTCAGTCGGTACGGATTTTCAGCTCGAAAGAAGGGGAAGGGGAAAATGGGGTTTCGGGTTTGTTGGATTTTGTTGATTCTTTGACTGTAAGTGAGGAATTTGTTGGAAATGTGGATACTTTTGTGAATGCAATGGATGGTGTTACGAATGGAAAGTTTTTGAGGGGGGAAGAAAGTGGGTTGAGCTCAGAATGGGTGGAATTGGGGTGGTTGAAAGAGAAGGGTTATTATAGTATCGAGGCTTTCACGGCGAATAGGTTGGAGGTGGCATTACGATTGGCATGGCTGAATCATAATAATGGGAAAAAGAGAGGTGTAAAGCTGAAAGATAAGGTGAATTCTGTAGGTGTAGGGGCAAATGCATTTTGGAGGAAGAAAGGGTGTGTAGATTGGTGGGGTAAGTTAGATGAGGCAACAAGGGTCAAGGTTCTTCGTAATGGCTTAGGGAAGGCGGCTAAATCACTGGTACTTCTTTATGTTGAGCGTTTTTCTTGACTAGCAGATTGATCTATGTTTGTTATTTGGTGCTACATTGCTGTTTAATGTGCTACAAGTTCATTCAATGAGATTACAATATGTTTCAATTTGTATCTGTGGTGGCATTTTCATTCATGGTTGTTAAAATGCTGAACTTGCCCTCTAATAGGAAAGAGATAATGACATAGACATTTTGGAATAGTAAATAGCATGTTAAATGGAAAGTACACATTTCAGAATCCTCAGGAATCTAGCTAAACAGTAAGTGGCTAAGATTTGCCAGTAGGCTAAAATCTGTATCAAAAAATTAGCTGAGATGTAATAAAGGAAATTTAAAGGAATGTTGAGGAGGCCCCTTTGAGTTGGAAAAGCAAAAGAGAGTATAAACTGCAGGCATCCATGATAATTAACTAAACTATCAAATCACACAACTTCTTAACTAAGACATGTCTCTATATTTTCATAGAATAGAATAGTAAGTTCACATCTTGTTCTCATGCTTTACCAATTGGTTGAGTCAATTCAAACTATAACTGATTTAGATTTATTTTTTTTTTTAAAAAAAACTGGTAACTTTGTGTCTATTGATAGAAACAGATCAGTACATGGGCTGTACTAGGGCCATATTTACAAGTAAATCCAGATCCTATGATCCCATGTCTATAATGAATCTAACACATCAATAATAGAAACAGGATCATTAGACCGAATTTGATTACACCAAACACATAGAATCAAGATACAATTCAATTTGATCTGTTCAATATTATTTTCTATGTTCTCAAAACACCTAGAATTTCTCTCCTTCCAGATTGTCCACCATACGATGGCTGGTATGATTCTCCACCTACTTTTGCTTCTTGCCAGAACCCCAGCTTCTTCCCAACCCTATGCATGTACATCCCTTTTAAATAATATCTCTCGTCTTTCTAAAGTAGTCCTGTGGTCATCTAAGTTGCTCGGACTCTTCACCTTTGGTGCCGGCCCCGTGTCGTGTGGGTGTGGGTGTGGGATCCATACCCGATTCGGTCAACTGGTTTTGGGTACTTTGACCAAATTCGAGGGAGAAATTCTGAACAAATTCAATGATTTATGTAATCAAAGTAAAAACTAAGGCGGAATTGAAGAAAATGGAATACCTTGTATATATAAATTTTTATTTTCACTCCCTTTCCTTTTATCTCCTTACAAGATTCTCCTCTTTATCAATATTTTCTCCTTAAGTTTTCCACATAATATCTCATAATTTAGGTTTCATCCCTCTATTTTTAGATATTTGAATTATTTTAGCCTTATCCCCGCACCTGTATCCATATATGGATCCGTATCCCCAAATCTTAAAATTTAGATCTTAGAGGACCCTACCTCTAGATTCGCACCTGTACCGGGCATCCGCACCCGAGTCCGAAACTTAGGTGGTCATAGCATGCCAGTAAATGTGTGTGGATTTAGATTTTTTAGGTACCCTATCCCTATGTATGTACATCCCTTTTATGTAACATCTCTCTTCGTTCTAAAGTAGCCCTGTGGTCATCTAAGTTGCTCGGACTCTTCACTTTTGGTGCCGCCCCCGTGTCGTGTGGGTGTGGGATCCGTACCCGATTCGGTCAACTGGTTTTGGGTACTTTGACCAAATTCGAGGGAGAAATTCTAGACAAATTCAATGATTTATGTAATCAAAATAAAAAGTAAGGTAAACTGAAGAAAATGGAAAACCTTGTATATATAAATTTCTATTTTCACTCCCTTTCCTTTTATCTCCTTATAGGATTCA